ATTTTAAGCAGATGACCATTTCCTTGAGCTTGTATATGGATTTCTCTTAGACTGATACAGGTTTAAGTCAGTGCTCAGAAACATATTCAGTGGATCTCAGTGTCTCATAGCTTCTTTATGTCTCTCTGTGAATTACTCAAAAAATAAACAAAATACCCCTCATTAAGCAACCTGTGAGGCATGTTTTCAAATAGCACATGAAGCTATGTGCCACATCTTCAACCACTCAAAAAGTTCAAAGTTACAAAGAAAAACAAATGACAGGAAGGCATCAACTTTCCTACTGAGCACGGCAGAACCGTAAATTGACCATGACTACATCATTAGTTTTCTCACAAACACATGGGCTTTCCCTGGGCTTTCTTGCTAGCGGTAAGTAACCTCTGTGAGTGTTAAGCTTCTGACAGCGCTGGAGGGTTCACATGAACACACTTGACCGGTGGGCAGGGTGGAAGTGGCTGAATTGAATAGCGATGACATGAGGTGATAGATTCTGCAGAGATGGGGTTCTCTTCAGCCAGGGCAGCTTGCCATCACCTTCTCCCATTACCTCATTTCCCAGGGCTTAGTTATCTTGGTTGTTTCATAATAAATAAATAACCAACTGATATTTGTGAAATGACATTATGTACATGGCTATTCATTGCATAATTGTTTGCAATCGGCAAAGGTTGGAAATCACATCAAAGTCTGTCGATAGATGACTAGTGAGTTGAACCATGGTATGTTCATACAATGGAACACCATGTAGCCAACAGCACAAAAGAATGTTTGTATTCTGATATGGAAAGGTCTCCTTTTAATTGCACCACATGGTCTTTAGGATGCTACCCTGTGTGTAAACAATGGGAATAATAAATGAGGAAACACAAGAAACTGGTAATGGAGGTTAACTCTTGAGAAGGAAACTGAGAGCCTGAGGAGAGGAATGGAAAGGAAACTTTTCACCGTGTGTCTTTCATGTCATTTGCATTTTCTATGACAGTAGGTCTTACCTATTCTAACACATACATACACACACCCCACATGTACATTTTCTTCCATATGCATCTTTTTACATTTTTAGAAATAACTTTTTCTATGGTGGGAAAATACACATATTTATCACTTGAACCATTCATAAATGTACAATTTAGTGCTATCAAATTCATTCACAGTGCTTTGGACTCATCACCACTATCTACACCCAAATTATTCTCATCATCTCCAAAACACACTCTGTACCCATTAAGCAGTAACTCACCACCACCACCTGCCCCAGCCCCAGCCCCAGCCCCTAGTAACCTCTAGTCTACTTTCTGTCTCTATGAATTGGCCTATTCTAGGTAAGTGGAATTATGTAATATTTGTCCTCTGTATCTGGCTTATTTCACTATCCCACATACGCTTTTTAATGAAAGCATCTACTAATTAGATAAATACCATTATGAAACACTTTTTTTTTCTGAAATATTAAATATTTTTAGAAAGAGAGAAAACCGATCTTGTGAAATGTGTGGACATGCCTTGGAGAGAGTAGCACTGGTCTCTGGTGTTTCCTAGAAACCCTGTTGTAACTTTTAAAACATTAACTAGTCACCCAGCTTGCTAGTGCCCTCTTATTTCAGAAAATGAAGTGAAATAGCCACCAATTCCTTCCCATACATTTGACTCACATGTGACAGAGTTCTTTAACTGGGGCCCCTAGGGGACTTTAGAGGGTCCTGAAATCTTTTCTGAAATTGTACACATATCTGTTGTGTGCTGGCCTTTCTGGAGAGAAGTTCTTTGGCATTCAGAGATTTTCAAAGTGGTCTGTGAGTCAGAAAAAAGAAAAAGGCTAAGCACCATTGCTAAATGGGGTAATTAATACTGCTCCTTCCCATTAAATACACAAAAAGCCCTTTATTCCTCAACTAGTCTATGATTAACGAACACACACCAAAAGATAAACCTCTGACATGAGCCACAGAAGAAATAAGTCTGTGGCTTAAAAAAAAGGATTCTTAGAATTTCTGTAGTTAATAAAAATAACATGGCACACAATTTGGTGGCACATAGAAGAGGTCATAGCATCAAGGGTTTGTTAATAGAACTCTTATGAAAGGAAATTGAGGGGTTTTCCATTCACATCATAAATATTTATTCAGTACCCCCTTGTGTCAAATATGGTCTAAGAGCTCAGGATACAGCTGTAAATGAAATACTGTCTCTACCCCATGGGGCTTGCATCCTATTAGTAGAATGTAATGATAAATAAGTGAAAAAAGAAATGACAGTTTTTAGATAACCATAGTGTCAGTGAAATTTCATGGAGAGTGCCTGGAGATTTTAAGTTCAGAGGGGGTGCTTGGGGAATCCCTTTCTGGGGAGATGGCATTTGAGCTGATATCTAAAGGGCAAGAAGAGCCAGCCATGGAAAGAGCTTGGAGAAGGGCATGCCGGGCAGAGGGAACAGCAAGTGCTGAAGCTGGAGCTGTAGGTAAGATGGGGGGTACTGAGTGCTAAGGGCTCACCATCAGCCCTTCACTGCTTCCTCACACACAGGGCTCATTTCTCCTCTAGACTCAGGCTCTTACCCTCTTCTTTTACATCCCACTCACCTTTAACAACCAGCATGCTTCCAGCCCTCAATGTTCCTTCTCCCTCCTACATAATCCCTTTGAGCCCTTGATGGCTCCACTGCCTTGCAGCGAGTGCTCATCAACCCCAGCACGCCCTGAGCTCCTTGAGCACGCCTGCTTGCTCAAGCATGCCTGCTGCTCCATGAACATTGTCATGGGCAGGAGAGAACAGGGCCGACCACAAAGGTCGGGGTGGGCTGAATGGCCAGGACAGCCAGGACCACCAGAGCACCCGTTTAGGTTGAGCCTCACATGCACAGGGGTCCTCAAATTCAGATTTGGCCATTACTTGTTACACATAGGGTATTATCACATTTGTGTGTGTTAAAAGTACAATACATTAAATATTTAAATATATACCACACACATAAAACATAAATATACCATAGTTTTATTGTTTAAAAATAGGAAACAAAAATTGGATGTGGCCTAGGATTCTCTTACCCTGAAAAGCTTGAATATAAAGAGAATGCGTTTTGTTTTTATCTCTCACTCCCTCTCCATTTCTCTCTCTGAAATCAATAAAAACATATAAAACATTTTTAAAAAGAGAGAGAGGGAATGAATTTTAAAGGAAGGTGGCTTGGAATCAAATCTTAGTTATATAATTTCTTGGCTGGATAACTTTTGGCAAGTTTCTAAACTATGCTTAACAGGTTTAAATACTGTGAATAATTGTGTCCCAGAATGAATTATAATGAAGCTTAACCCATACTGAATTTAGATAAGATATATCTAGATAAGATTTTTGAAATTTCAGTTGACGTTGTGATGGGATGAGTCTTTGGAGATCTTGGGATGGGGTGAACCTACTTGCATATGGGGTAGGCATGGTTCATTGGGAGCAAGAAGGTAAACTGGCAGGCAGAATGGCCTCACAGTGGTCCCCATCCTAATCCCCAGAACCTATGAATATGTTAGCTTACACGGCAAAAGAGACTTTACAGATAGGATTAAGGGTATAACCTAGAGTTGGAGCTGTTGCCTAATCACTCGAGTCCTTCAAAGTACAAGAGAAGGAGACAATAGTTCAGGGAGCTAAGATATAGAAGAACTAAGTCTGTCATTGCTGGCCCTGAAGGTGGAGGAAAGGGGTACCAAGCCACAGCAGCCTCTAGAAGAAAAACCCAGTAAGATAGATGCTACCCAGAACTTACAGAAAGAATCACAGTCATGCCTGGCTAGGCATGGCTCAGGGGTTGAGCATCGACCTAGGATCTAGGAGATTGCAGTTGGATTCCCGATCAGGGCACATGCCTGGATAGCGGGCTCAATCCCCAGTTGGGGGTGTGCAGGAGGCAGCCAATTAATGACTCTCTCATCATTGATGTTTCTCTTTCTCTCTCCTCTCTCTCCCTTCCTCTCTCTGAAATCAATAAAGATATATTTAAAAAAAAAAAAAAACACAGCCATGCTGATGTCCTGATTTTAGCACTGTAAAACTGTTCAACTTTTGACCTATGGAACTGTAGGAAAATAAAATTTGTGCTGCTTTAAGCCGCTAAGTTTGTGATGTTACAGTAGCAGTAATAAACCACTACAGTACCTAATTCACAAGGTTTGTTTTAATAACAAAATTGTTCCTAGTACATCTAAACAACTCATAACTATACCTAGTATGTAGTAAGCACTCAATAAATGTTAACATCCTTCTCAAAGTTGAGAGAAAGCAAAGAGGTAAAGACATAAATAACTCTGAGGGTATAAATGCAACCAATGATCTATGCAGAACTATCTTCAAAGGGCTTCAAAAGATTATGACAGATAGCCCTAAGAAAATTGCCCAAAGTAGGGGTAGCAAACTCAAATGCATGTGGGCTTTGCTGGTAACATACGTAAGGGAAATACGCAAGTTGGGGGCTGTCACAGATTGGAGGGGTAGCCCCATCTAAGGGACAGACCTGGCATAGCTGACTGATGCCAATGAAAATGCAATGCAGGCCCATTGTTATGAGATACTTCAAATTTTCAAAAAGCAGAAACCCACATCTTCTCTGAAATCCGTTTTTAAATGTTGGAAAACAATTCACATTTAAACATAGACAGGCATACCTCAAAGATATTGCAAGTTTGGTTCCAGACAACAGCTATAAAGTGAGTTGTAATCTTTTTGCTGGTGGAGGGTCTTGCATTCAATTTGTAAAAAATGCACCATCTGTGAAGTGCAATAAAAAGAGGTGTGCCTGTATAGACCTGCACACAATTTTTAGGCAAAATTGGTATGTCTACATTTAGCCCCTCAGGTTAGTATCTCCAGCCAGCTGGTGAACACATTTAAAGCTACTTTTGAATGCATTTTTTCTGGTCCTCTCAGTCTTACACCATAAAATAATATGGTAGTCTACCCAAATCTAAGAAACCATAAATTTTATGAAATTAAACAGAAAGACAGCTTCAAACTGTGTTCAAATCCAGTTTTATTAAAATTATTTGGGAATTTCAGAGTAGTACAAAGAATTTGACTATGACCACTGGACACACCAGACATGAGTTTCTATTTTTGGTTTATTGGAGGTTTGGGTACATGTACTTTTCTAAATCCTTACCACTTCATTTCATTACCAAATGTCAAAGTACCTCAAGTTTCTCTATCTACAACACCCTATTATTTATAGAACAGGAATTTTTAAAGTATGATTGAAAAAATAAAATCCACAGATTCAAAAAAATCCTCTTCAAATATTAAGAACATACAAAGTATACTAAAGACATCTACATTTAGTCATCTAAGTCACAAGGCAGGCATTTGATGTCTGTAGTTTCTTGTTTTTACTTATTGCTAATTACAGTCCAGAGACCAAACTGTTTCCAAAAGCTATAAAAACCTTCACTGACATTCCTGGTCCGGTTCCAACGGATTTAGAGAATAAAACCAGGAGATGGCTTGATTTGGCCTTTAAAATCACAAGCCTTTTTTTTCTTTAGTGGGATTTTTCTTCTGTAGGAGCTCAGGGCACTATTTGCTTACTTAATGCCTTATAATTAGCATCTGCCTTACAGGAGATCTAAGTATTGGCTTTGTAAAGTGTATGACTGAACAGCAAATGATGGGAGGCCTTCGTGTCCAAGGCGAGATTTCCCCCAGCCCTCAGAGGGTCTGGTGCTCCTCAGTTGTTCTCCAGGGATCCTGAAGTTGCCTGTAAGAAGGAAACAAAGAAAACTGTGTAAGAATCTTCATGCCAGACATTTCAGCTCATTCTAAGTAGTCTTGCTTTCTTATCAGTGTATGAAAACTCAACTATGGCAATAGAGCCCTGCTGTTTTGTTCCTATCATAAGAGTAGCTCTAGGGGATAAAAATGTAGAAAACAAAGCAGGGCAATCACTTGAGAAAATTCTGCTCTGGCTTCTCTCAAAGGCTGGACTTTCATAAGATTCACGAGAATTGTTTCCAGTCTTCACATTCCCCTAAATGGCCGATTTATTTCACCAGAGGTATAGAAGGTTGTCATACCATATTACCATTGATTGTCTTATTATTTTTAGGTGGAAACACTTGTTCCTTAAGGGGGAACGTGTTATTATAGTCTACTGTCCTTTATTTGTGGTCTTGAATAGCATCACTATTCAAAGAAAAAGCAATTTTGCAATCAAAACAGGCATGTTTCTTTATCTGTATCACTGGAACGGGGTCTCAGACTTTGCCAAGGTTAACTCTACAAGTTATTTATGTCGTCCCAGCAAATTAGACCTATGAATATTAAGTCATAGCAGAAGCTGTATCAAATAGATTTCACTCTTATTTCTCTAATAAATGAAAAACATTTTCTTTAGAAATGAGCACACATTTTGAACTTCAATAATTCTTTGCATCTAATTTAAGTTTATTTATAAATTGAAAATATAGTCTCCAACGTTAAAGAATTAGAATATAAGAAGCCTTTCCTCTAAGTTAAGTTTCATCTAAACTTCAATTCAAGAATACTTAAAACAAGGGGACATCTGTGATACTTTCAACAATAAAGATACATTTTTTTAAAAATACTTAAAACAAAATATTCAAATAATATCTAGAACAAAAAAAGCAATGCATACACTGCAATGTTGCTAACTCATGAAGCAGTTAAATCTAGGAGAGAGAAATTATACTTACAAATGGAGTCCTGATTCCAAATTTGCTATAGAACGTCATGGTGACTTTGTTTTTATATCCTGTTCTTTGATCAAAGGCATGGCATGAATCAAAAGGTGGACTGTACAAGTGAAGGCTCACGGCAGGTTCTGTATGGCTAATATTTTCCACTCGGTGTAAGCCAATGGAATCTAAACAACATACAAGAAGAATAGATGAAGGATTTTAGATGATAGCTGTAGGTAAAAGTTTTGTTAATCACCTAAGATCATAAGTCAACTGGGTACATATGGAATTAACAAAAATTAGTTAGAAATGAACTTCTTATTAAAGATAGTAAGCCATATGTACTCTGTTCTTTCCTGAACACCCCCTATAACTTCAGTAAAAGAATAAAAGAGGCATCAACATACAAAGAAAATAGAAAAAATTTAAAAGCTTGAATGTACTGGTGACTTGAACAACATGGACATTAAGGGTGCCAACTTCTACCCCCTGCAGTCAAAAATCCACAATAACATTTGACTCCTCAAAAACTTAATAATTGGTTCCAGGACCCCCTGTTGATACAAAAATCTGAGGATGCTGGAGTCCCCTGGCCCCCTGTATAAAACAGCATATATTAATGCATACAGTCAGCACTCTGAATCCTTGGACTTCCAACCTTGGATTGAAAACATTACAGATATTTATTGAAAAAAATCTGTGTATATGTGGACCTGTCCATTTCAAACTCGAGTGGTTCAGGGTTAATGACAGATGAATAGCTTTGCAGAAGAAAGCTAAATATTCATCCACACATGGAGAAAGCCAAGAAATAAACTGATTTATATTGTGAACCCCTCCCCACCCCAACAGTTCAGAAATTGGCAGCATGGGTGTTTCTGGAAATGGGGATGAAAGTGGGGCTAAAAGTATAAGAACTGGTTAAAAGCCTATTTCAGTAGAGTCTTAGATCCCTTTCACCATTTCTCCCTCTCCTTCCCCCTGGTAGAAGTCTGAGATCTAGTCTCTAGAAAGAATATAATAGATGAACTCAGGACAGGTGAAAAACAGGTGACTGAAGTGAAAATATACATATTGAATGGGAAGAGCCCACTTTCTTCACTGCCTAGCTGCCAGAATGCTGCCAGACAGGAATTTTTTTCTCCAGGCAGGAGATGGGAAGTAGTTTCTCAGGGGATCTGATTGGCTCAAGAACAAAGCCCCAAGCATACTGCCATCGGTTGTTTCTCAAGGAAAAAGCTTTGCCAGATTATCCTAGAACGAAGTCCAGTGTTTAGAGCTACCAATTGACATTTTTTGTCCCTGGTTTATAAATATTAGCACACAGCTAAGGTCACCAGAGGTCAGAGCAACCTGAAAAAAAGCAACTAGAGACAGACATAATTCTGGAGAAGACTTAAAAAACAAACAAACTTATCATTAATATCCTCAGAGAGATAAGAGAAAATACTATAAAAGGACCAGAGAAAGAAGGGCTTTTAGAAACAAAAACCTGAATAGAAAGGTTGGAAGAAAAACTGAGGAAGCTGAAGAAGACTCAAAGGAACAAACGAACAAAAGAACAAAGATAGAAAATAGAAAAGAAAGATAAAAGAAATCAAGAGGAGGTTTAATATCTGAGCAATAGGAATTTCAGAAACAGAGAAAAAAAAAAAGTCAAAGAAATAACTGAATAATATTTTCTTGAATGGAAGGACGTGAATTTCCAGATTGAAAGAACCCACTGAGTACTCAGCACAATGAATGAGAGTCATGAAACGCTACCTCACTATAATACTGGGGTCAGAGAAAATATAATGAAAGAGATCTCAAAAGTTACTAGAAAAGAAAAATACGCTTCATAGAAAGATTCAAGAATCAGAACAACAGCAGGCTTTCAACAAGAAGACTGAAAGCCTTGGCGGGGTATCTCAGTTAGAGAGTTGTCCCAATATTCCAAGGTAGCTGGTTCAATCCCCGGGTAAGGGCACAAATAAGAATCAACTAGTGAATGCATAAATAAGTATGGAACAACAAATTGATGTTACTCTCTCTCAAATCAATAATAATAATAAAAAGACCAAAAACCAAAAGACAAGGCATTACCTTCATCGTTCTGAGAGAATATGACTGTCAAGTCATAATTCCATATCCAGCTAAATTATCAATCATGTTGCAAGAGTTGACTACAGAGATTTTTAGATATATGAGGTCTCAAAAAATTTCTTTCCATGAACACTTTCTTATAGAGCCACTGGAGGATATGCTCCACTAAAACAAGGGCCTGGACCAAGAATGAAGCAGACATGAGATCAGGAAACACGGAGAGTAGCAAAAGAAAATGGCAAAGGGAAAGTCTGGATGATGTGAGGGGATCCCAGGATGACAGTGGAGCCCTGGCCTTGAGATCAACCAATCCACAATGAAGCTGGTCAAAAGGCCCTGGAGGAGATATCTCAAAGAAGGTTAAAATAAAGAAATAATGAAAATACATGATTTAAAAAATATATGCTGAGAAGAAATTTATAGTTAGGAGAGAGTGTGAGGATTAACCAAGGGAGGAATTCAGTGTAATTAGTGTAGTTAATGAAGGCACCTAATTTGGCCTCATGCTTTATGATCTAGTTCCACGAGCTTGTATGATACAGAGCAAAGCCTAGAGGCAGAGGACTTAATTCTTCTCCCAGCTAGACTACCTTCAAACAACTCACAACTTCCCGAGTCCTCAGTTTTCCTCACTTCTAAAAATGAGGCCTGATTCTCAGATCTGAAAATTCTTTAATCCTATAGCTTACTGTTTTCACAAGATACTGGCTTAAGCACAATTTTGAACAAAAGTTCGACATTCTTAAGAACTGACTGCCCTTACACAAATTATGTTTCTCCAGTTGCAAATACATACACCACCCAATGCATGTTGGATAATTCTGTAAGCTAAGGCCCCGCAAAAACTAGTAACCTGTGCTTTAGAGAAGCTCCTGAGGCCCATGTCTGATCCCAATTGTTAATAATCCCAACATTATTATTATTATTTATTATTATTATTATTGGTCCTTGCCTCTTTCCTTTATCCCCATGGTATACTCTCTGTCACAGTAATTCTGAACTTGGTGATACTTATGGACACCAGTTTGATCCTGGCCATGTCCACCTTTTGCCTATTACAATAGGTAACTTGGTCTCCTTGACCCAATTCTCTCCCTTTCCTCCACCCTATGTTGCACACTGCTACAAAATTGATCAGGATATTCCCAAATAAAATTCTGCTGACCAAAGCAAGCTCTTACTTTAAGCTGGTCTTGGAGGCCCAGGACCTGATCTTACTTTACTCTCCCACTACTCCTGTCCAAACCCATTCTTCCCTCTTCCCTCTAGGCAGACCATTCCTGACTAGTTTTTAGTTTTTGTACTGACTGTGCCTTCGCTCATGCTCTCCCTGGTACTTAAAACATCCTTCCCGCTGATCAGTATCTATCTGCACTTCTCCTGCATCTGTAAAAATCAAAGGTTGTAAATTTGTGACTTTTGATCATATGGGTAATTAGTCTACAGAAATATTTAGCTTATTCCACCCAATATCTTCCAACTGGCAAAATTTTCCATAAAAATCAGAATTTCCCACTTCTATGGAAAAAGAAACCTGGATGATCTCACGGGAGCTGGGTGCCCATTGGTGCCCCCTGGCTTGCACACACCAGTTCCCCACAGCCTTACCCCCAGCCTGCACCACTCATTTACCTTATCTGCTTGGTTCCTATGCTCTTTGCATTGTAGACTCTTTACCCATTCTTTAAGATCTAATCTAGTTTCACAAAGACTGTGACTAGTTGAAAGTAACTATTCTGAAAGGCTTTTTGCTTTATTGTGAATTACATGGACAATAAACTTGTTCTCGAAAATCTGGTGTGCCTCATAAATACAGCAACCCTCAAATAAGAGTTTTCCTGCTACATAAGAAACTAACACCTTGTGTTACGTGAATGGGGAGAAAAACTTCCCATACAGCAGTTCGCCTTTATCTGCAATTTCAATTTCTGTAGTTTCAGTTACCTTCGGTCAACCATGGTCTGAATATACTAAATGGAAAACTCCAAAAATAGACAATTCATAAGTTTTAAATTGTGTGCTTTTCTGAGTAGCATAATAAAATCTCCTGTTCCATCCCACCCAGGCATGAATTATCCCTTTGTCCAACCTGCTGTATAGGCTCCCTGCCCTTTAGTCACTTAGTAGCTATCTGTTATCAGATATTTTGAAAGAGAGACCACATTTCCATAACTTTTATTGCAGTATATTGTTAAAATTGTTCTACTTTATCATTAATCATTAATTTTACCCTCTTACTGTGCCTTATTTATAAATTAAACTTTACCATAGGTATGTATGTACAGGAAAAAAACATAGTATATATAGGGGTCAGTACTAACCACAGTTTCAGGTATCCACTGGGGGTCTTGGAACATATCCCCTGCATGTAACAGGAACTACTGTACACTCTGACCTTTCTAAGTGCATTGTGAAACTAATGAACAAATTTAAGCCAAGTATCAAGGTCGATACTTGTTATTAAAGAAGATCCTGCCCAGCTGGGCATGGCTCAGCAGTTGATCGACTTAGGATCCAGGAGATCAGGGTTCAATTCCCGGTCAGGGCACATGCCCAGGTTGGGGGCTAGGCAGCCGATCAATGACTCTCTCATCATTGATGTTTCTCTCTCTCTCCCCCTCCTTTCTTCTCTATGAAATCAATAAAGATATGTTTTTTAAAAATAAAGAAGATCCTGCTTTGCCAGAAAAATCTCTGTATTATTTTTTTTAAATATGTTTTTATTGATTTTTTTTTTTTTTTAGAGGGAGAAAGGGAGAGGTATAGAGAGACAGAAACATCAATGAGAGAGAAACCTTGGTCGGCTGCCTCCCCAGGCTCCCTACTGGGGATCGAGCCCTAAACCAGGGCATGTGCCCTGACCAGGAATCAGACCGGTGACCTCTTGGTTCATGGGTCAACACTCAACCACTGAGCCATACCAGTTGGGCTCTCTGAAATAATTTATTGTATGTAAGTAGGATAGCATCCAATAAGAGTACAGCCTTTGGAATCAAATCTTGGCTGCTACTTAAAAGTTGATTGGGTTGGACAAGTTATTTAATCTTCCTGTGTGTTGGAATCTCATCTGCAAATGGGAATAAATGATCTCATATAAGCTTAACAAGCTTTCTGGAAATTTACTAGCCCCTTTAAGAATACAGATGTTAATCACTGCCTCTCCTAAAAAGCATTTGGCTTTTCTATATCACATTTAGGGGAAAGAATGAATTCTTGGTGAGAGATCTATAAATCGCTGCTTAAATAATGTGCTTTGTGAAGTTTCCCTTGAGAATACTCTTAAGTATGTTATATTTCAGAAAAACGGGAACTAGCTAGCATTTGTAATTACTTCCAGACCATTTCTTTACATTTTCTTTCTTTCTTTTAAATATATTTTTATTGATTTCAGAGAGAGGAAGGGAGAGGGAGAGAGAGAGTTGAAACATCAATGATGAGAGAGTTGTCATTGATCAGCTGCCTCCTGCTAGCCCAAGGCTGGGAATTGAGCCCGCACCCGGGCATGTGCCCTGACCAGGAATTGAACCTCCATCTCCTGGATCCTAGGTCGATGGTCAACCGCTGAGCCACGCCCAGCTGGGCTACATTTTCTTTTTTTAAAAATTTTTATTGATTGATTGATTTGGGGGGGAGGGAGAGGGGTAGAGGAGAGGATGGGAGAGGGAGGGGGAGGGGAAGGAGAGAGGGACATCAATTTGTTGTTCCACTTAGTTGTGCATTCATTGTTTGATTCTTGTATGTGCCCTGACTGGAGATTGAATCCTCAACCTTGGCGTCTGGGACAATGTTCTAACCAACCGAACAACTGAACTACCCGGCCATGGCCATTTAGTTACAGTTTCTAATGCAAAATCTAGTATTTCCACCTTGGCATCACTTCTTTATTAAAAGACTCTACATATGTAAATTCATATTTGATTCTAACTGTCCTAAGACTTGGCAGGTAAATGACTTTTCAGTCAGGACTAATCTACACACATGTGTTTCTAATAAGTGATTCTAGTCCAGACGCAAAACTTTAAAAAGCAAAACCCACTGCTTTCAGGCCCTTTCCCAAATATTTGAAATCATGACTATGATTCAAGTTCTACTGCACATATGTAAGTAACCAATCTTTCAGATGAGAGTTAAAAGGTTTTTCCCACTTGCCCTTAGAAAAAGGAATTGGATGTTACCATTGATGTAGGCACACTGGTTTTCCCTCAAGATTCTTTCAGACTTCTTGATCATCTCATTGGACTTTTTGTCAGGCCAGGCAAATAATGTCTCCTTTAGATTTCCCTGCAGCATCTTCAGAAAGCAGTGGGAGTTGGTGTGGTCATGGATACTGCTATATACACACAAAATGAAAACTGAACTCAGTAGATGGTCCAGTATCCAGATCTGCAGTCACAGTCAGTCCAGAGCTTACAGCTGCACACTGTCAATAGGACATCTCCCAGGATAAAATCCATTTCAGCTGGATTTTGAAACGCCATCTATTTATAATTTGTTCAAGATAAATAAAATATCTTCCATATCAATGCATATAAGGCGTACAGTTTTCATGCCTACCTCCACTAAAGAACAGTTAATTTTTTAAACCTTGTTGTAATACTACTTTCATAAGAGAAACACAAAAGCAGCAACCATTTATCTTCTCCAAGATATAGCTTTAAATAACTCAGTTAAGCTGGGCTAAAACTTGACTGTAGAACTACACTGGGGAATTTTAAGGAAGGACAAAAGTAATCATCTATAATCACTGAGTCACACTGAGAAGATGACACTTAACAAATTTTCCCAGGCTTTCTCTCTTTTTTATCTTTCCTTTGGGGGACAAAAGATATGTGTATCTATTACCATCACCCTAAAGTTATACTGTAATGTATCTATAATGTTAACATTTTGTAGATTTAGAGTATTCTACCTGTGATTACATCCCAATATTTGTGGAAAAAATAAAGTAAATTTGATTTGGGGAAAGAATTTATTCATATAATCTTAGAGTAAATAGCATTTAAGTTTATTAAGTAGGCTTAGCTGTAGGGTTCATTAAAACATATACATATGCACCACAGGAAGAACTTGTTTCCTAAATCCACAGAGCCTAGTCTTACTCTTTATGTATAATCTGCTTTGAAAAAAATATTGAGAGTGATATGTACTCCAAATGAGTAAATAAATGTATTCTATAAACCTAATTTTCTAAAGTCTTGTAAATTCATGTTTCATTTTTCCCATAAAAAGGTCTAGATTATTTTTTCACCATTCTCAAAAGACTGAGAAGGATCTGTTTAAAGAGATAATACTCAATTGGTAACAATGTTAGCAAATGTTTAAACCAAGGATAATTAAGGAAACAAGTTTCAAAGAATTAGTATTAGTTGCCTTACCCTCTATATAAAGAACATAAACCATAAACTTAAAGTAGAAATAAATTTTCTAAATTTGTGAATTTCTTTCTAGCTCCAAATCTGGATGCTTAGGTCTTTGGTCCCACAATTGTTTACACTTCAAAATACCACAAAGGTCAAGTTTTAGCACAATCCCATAAAAGTTTGGAGAAAGAAATAAGTTACACTAGTTACCACCTATTTGATTTATTACTCATTTTGGAGGCTGGTTTTGATATGCACAGTGTATGCCTAAACCCTTCATGCCAATTCCCTTGTGATTTGTTGTTGTTGTTGGGATTAGGGGACAAGTAATTATAAAATGAGATTTGTTAGTGCTCTCAAGATTTGTTAGTATAGCCTGGCACTGTACATTGCATAGGCTGGAATAAACACTAATAAATATCTGTGAATGAATAGTTGTATTACCTGCCATGTCCTTCACCCCAACATAGAATCATTAGATTAAATTTTCCATTTCCTTGATCCACAAGATTTCGGGTATACCTGAAAAGAAGGTATTCAGAGGTTTGAATTTAGGTGATGAAACAAGCGCTGGGAAAAATAAGTGTCATAAAGTATCATTCATTTACAGATGTTACTATTTCTACCTCTAAGCAACTGTGTGGTTCTCTAACTAGAAATCCAGCACAAATGAAAAATACTTTTCCCACTTCATTTTGGACATTTTTATATTTTGAATCACCACATTTACAGCTGCTCAGTTTTAATTAACGGCATGAAAAAAGTTAACAGGAAAAAAACCAAATTCCTTTATTCTCCATGTGACTGCCTCAAACTGAAAAAAATTCCTCACAGAAGGTTTTTGCAAAGTGCATTAGTACTCTAGGCAAGAATGTTGCTACTGTTTTGTCTTTTCCCTCAGGTAGCTAACCCTGAACTTGAGAAACAAGGTTTTATTAAATAGCTGTTCTAGAATTCTCCTTAGTTTTACTATAGCCCAAACCACATTCTAAAGTTACCCCTAATGCAAAGTCCTCCTCAAATAGGGTGGGTGGGAGGTATTAGAACACTACATTAGGAAATTGAACCCGAGACCCTTTGGAGCATGGGTCAACACTCTAACCACTGAGGCACATGGGTCAGGGCTAGACTGTCACTTTTAAGGAAAACAATCTTTACCCCATTTCTGGGTTAGTGTTTGTTCATATGGTTTATATCTGTTCACTTATGTCCTACATGCCTCTTCCTTCCCCCTTCTCCCCCAGCTCAGGGCCAGGTGCTGGCAGAGCAGGATCACTGAGGGAGGTGATTAGTAAATGCTCTTTAGGTGTCAGTCATCCTCACTTTGTAGACCTTTATGACCTAGCAAGGGGCTGTGCACTGGCCTTTAATTCACAGTAAATTCAGTACCAGGATCCTACTTCTCCCTCCAAGAGGGTCATCCCTCTTGCTTCTCTGGTGCTTCTTCCTGAGAATTCACTGTCTAGCCCACATTGGAACACATTCTGGCCTGGTTCTTCTGCAATGGCCTTCCCAAGGTCAGAGATTAGAATCCCTCACAGTGCTTGGACACTTATTATATGCAAAAAATACTATCAAATTGATTTCTGCTCTCTTCTTTCTCCCTCTCTCCTTCCCCAAATACCCTCCCAGGATGGCACTCATTATGTTAGTGAGCTGTATCTCAGATACCTGTGGAACAGATCAATCCAAGTGGTTTCATTTCAAATGGCTTAGAGCTTGTCAATCAAGATACATTCAAGGCTCCTGGAAATGCCCCTGTTCTAAAGATTAAGAGCACTTACAGCCTACCCTGGTTAATTAATTTCACTTGATCAGTAATATGTCTAGGCAGAAGAAAACTATTATATACCATATGTCTGCAAACAGTTTGATTGTGGTTTAGAGTGTGGGCTCTGAAACAGTAATGCTAATTTGAATCCTGGTGCCACTTCTTGGCAGAAATATGACCGTGTGCAGGTAATCCAAACTTTTTATTGCTTACCATTTCTCACCTGTAAAATAGGGCTAAGAATGGTACCAATCTCTAGGTAGAGTTAATACATGTGTAAAGTGACTGGAATGGCATATGGCTCATAACAAGCCCTCAATTACCTGGAGCTAATGGCAATATTAAAAACTAGACTCGGGCCGCCGGCGTGGCACAGCACTTGAGCGTTGACCCATGAACCTGGAGATAGGTTGGGTTCCAGTGGGGGCGACATGCCTGGGTTGCTGGTTGGAAACTCGGTAGGGGGCCTGCAGGAGGCAGCTGATCAATGACTCTCTCATCACTGATGTTTTTCTCTCTCTCCCTCTCCCTTCCTCTCCCTGAAATAAAGAAAAACGTATTTTTTTTTATAAAGTTAAAAAACAAAAACAAAAAATAAACTAGACTCTGGTAACTTTGTTGGCAGCCACAGAAGGACCTGACCATGAACTGAGTTGATAGGAACCAAACGAATGTCCTGGAGCCACCCGCAAGTGGACAATGGGATCCTAGGTAGGCTTCACTTTTTAATTTCAAATCCTAAAATACAGCTGAAACAGCCCTTGCCGACATCACTTTTCCAAACCCCCTAAGTATGTTTAGTGAAATGACTAACACAAACTCCCTAGGGTTCTTCTCTTTCAACTAACTGAAGCGCTGGCTGCCCTGCGGAAAAGAACCTCTCCCTCTTCGCAGCGATTAAATTTCCCCTCCGCCCGCGAGGACTGGTACAGATGCATTTGTAGTTAATCGCCGAGCCGGCGCCACCAAGGGCCAGGCCTCCCAGGCATCTCCCCGCCGCGCGGCCGCGGAGCAGCGGTCTCGGGCTCACGCTCCAGACGCCCAGGATCCCGGCCGAGCGCGAGCCCGCTGC